TTTTATGAAGGTTTCTTAATCTTAAAAGGAGGGTAGCCAATATAGTGCCCTCCAAGTGTTGGATTCAATGCCCATCTGCCCCAGTCAGCATGGCCAATGGCACTGGAGCCCAACAACACCTGTAGGAGTTGGATATCCCTGTTTTAAAGGCTCTATAATTCAGTGGCTGAATGTGCTGAACTGTGTCAGCTTGCCAGCTCTCTGCCTGGCCCACTGCCCTCATCAAGCCTCTGAGCAAGCTGGCATCTAGGCTTTCATCCACCATCTTAAAAACTTAATGATTCCATATGGACAAGACAATGTGACTTATATTAATGTATTTTTTAAAAAAAACCATCACCACCAATATATGGGTCACATCCACACCACACTTCCCTCAAAGAATCATGGGAACTGTAGTTTGTTAAGGGCTCTGGAAACTGTGGCTCTGTGAGGGGTAAACTATAGTTCCCATTATTCTTTGGGGGAAGCCATGGGCTTTAAAACTATGGTGTGGATTGACTCTAATTTTTCATGCCCATTTCATGACCCTGACCTGAGCAAACTTATCTAATACATACTTTCTCAAACAAGATACGAAAAAAAACAAAACAAAATACAGCCTTCATTTGAAATTTGCACTCCCCCTGAATTTTACAATGCAGCTTCTCCATCAAGTAATGTGTCATTATATTAGGGGAAAGTGTGCATATAGATGAATATTTTGGTGAAAATAACATTAAAAAATCCATTACATTAGGGAAAACCGCTTTGTAAAAATGCATATCTTAGGTGAAAGTCACACTAAAATGCTGATGAATTTTCATAACTTTTGTTTTAAAAAATTGCAAACTAATGTGGAAATTGGGGAGAACTACATCCAGCATTTTTAATCATTACTTTTAAAGAATATTTTGCTTTGTTTTTGAATTACATATCTGTTTACTCCCCGGTCTCCTTTGAGGAGGAAGGGTGGGATATAAATTCAGTAAATAAAATAAATAATTAAGAAATGAGAAACTGAAATTGACAGATTTGCCCAGCCCCATTTAACTGGAACTATTAAAAAAGTAAGTAAATAATCCAAAGTTGCTTTGATATTTTTTTTGAATACAGTACTCTTGATCAAAGATACTGTTGACATCCATTGAAAACAGAAGATCTCCAGCATTACACCATCTCTAAACTATGCCATTTGTGCTGGCACAGTCTTACTGCGGTGATGATGGTGGCGAATAATTCCCTGTGGGGGAATTCGCACACTTCTCCGGTTTCCTTCCTGCCTGATGCTAATGGAGGTGTGTCGGCCCCCGTCATCATGTTAATCCTCTCCAGCTTTTGTCTGGACTTGAACAGCACACAAAAGGTAACAAAACTCTCCTTCGTCGCTGACCAGGCTTGTTCTTTCTTCTGTAGAAACCGTTCAGAACCGTTGTTGACTTTACGTGCTTCCAAACTTAGTCATAGTTTCAGTCACAGTGCTGAGCTTGCGTTATCTGTAAGAATGGTCTTGTTGAACAGCACAAAGGGCCATCTAGTTTCGTCTTCCATCAGGCCAACCACACAACTTTTTAGAACCCCCCTCCCCCCCCAAAAAAATATAAGGTACAGTGGTACCTCAGGTTACATATGCTTCAGGTTACATACGCTTCAGGTTACAGACTCTGCTAACCCAGAAATAGTGCTTCAGGTTAAGAACTTTGCTTCAGGATGAGAACAGAAATCATGCCTCCTGTGGGACCGTGTGTCTGAAGCAGCATTTTAGTGAATCAAGCTTATCAGCCCAGCTTATCGTCTGCTCTGACTGGCAGCCTCTCTCCAGGTCTGTGACCAAGAGAGGTTTTCCTCAGACCTGCTGTTTAAGACCCTTTCCTTCTAAATCAAGAGTTGCTAGGGAACTGAACCTGGGATATTCAGGATGCAAAACATGTGCCTAACCACTCAGCCTAACCACTCACCTATGACTTATGCCTCTCCACTCCATCCTATGCGATGGAAAGATATTCCCACTATGCAGGGGGGCAAGGGAAATAAGGCAATTTTTCTCCACTGGGAGGAAGTTCTTCTAATCCTAGGGAAAGACCATAGCTCAGTGACAGAGCATAGGCCTTGTATGCAGAAGGTTCCAGAGTCAATCTCTGGCACCACCAGGTATGGCTGGGGAAAGGTATTGTTTGAACCCCTGGAGAGCTCCTGCCAGTCAGTGTAGGCAGTACTGAGCTAGATGGACCAATGGTTTGACCCAGTATAAGGCAGGTTCCTGTGTTGTTCCAATCATCTGTTTTCCTACATCCAATATCTTACAGACAGTTTATCCCAACCATTTGACATTCAGAGATGCATTGCCTCTGGATTTGGATGTTTCATTCAGTTTTCATGGCTTGCAGCCATTGATAAAGACCTATTCTCCACACATTTATTGCAACCTTCCTTCAAAAGTCATCTCATCCAGTACTACTTGTGATAACGAGTGAATCCCAGAAGTGACGTGTGCATTGATAATCTTATCTTTCGGTCTGCAGCAGCCCTCAGCCTTTAAATTGGTCAGCATGAATTCTTTATAAGAAGAGGCAGGAGGGAGAGATGAAAAGAAAATATATCTGCAATGCTTTAAGCATATCCCAGCCTCTTACTCTTTTTTCCTGGAATGGGCAATAACAATTAAAAACACACATCAGTGTTTACCTGCCTGGGGCAGTGGAAGAATCGGAGATAGCTCATCACCTAGTCATCGATCGCATCCACACCACACATGTAAAGTACATTCAAAACATAGGGCTTTCCCCCAAGAATCCCAGGAACTTTATTGCAGGGTGATGGGAACTGTAGTTCTGTGAAGGATAAACTTCATTTCCCAGTTCTGGGAATCATGGGAGAGGGGTTTCCAGCTACCCTACATCATGCCTGTGGAAGCCTTGCAATTTGCTGCAGGAGAAGGGCTGCTAGCAACATCATTTTGGGAGGGGTGTTTCTAAGACCAAAGTGAAACAGTCAAGCTCCCTTATTAGTTTTGCTATTGCCAGGAGGTGCCAACATAATCTTATTATATTTAAAGTACAGAAATGTTTTGGTGTTGTTGCTTTTTTTAAAAAAAACACACACACATTGTTATTGTTGTTTCATGACATTATTATGAAATTGTTTTTGCACTGTTTTTGGTTTTTGAAATGCATTCCTGTTTTCTTTGTCGTGAGCCACTTTGAGCATGATTTCTTTTGTAGGAAAGTGGCATATGAATACAATTATGAATATGAATGAATGAATGAATTACTGTTTTCATCAGAATTCTCTGACATCCTAACTTGGGAGTGAGCTGCATAGGATTTGGTTGTGCTTCTTTGTGCAAGGAAGGAGAATTCACAGGATCAACATGTCAGAACAAGATGGGTTACCCCTCTTTATAGCCTTTAGTGGTTGCTGTGCCTGATGCACAGATAGACCTTTTGGGACATATTTATATGATACTGTACACTCTGGTCTGTATTGCAAAGTTATGAAACCACAGGAAACTGTTTGCTATAGTTATACCTTCAAAGTTTGTTTTTTTTAATCTTTCATACCTATGTATTAGAAATATATTATGTTTACATTTACTTTATTCTAATCTGTTTGTATCTAGGTGGGTCTATATCTTCTAGGTTTGGTCCCCCCCCCCCCAGAGGAAAACAGCAACAGCAGCCTACCTCACAGGAGCGTTGTGGGGAAAAGGGGTCAAAGACTGTGGTGCATGTTAAAAATGGTACATATACAGACACAATGAATTGGATTGCTGGTTAAGTATAGCTGGAGAGAAAGAACAGAGTATAGCTGTTTCCTTCTCCCAACAAACCATCAAAAAAGTGTTATCTCATTAGGGTTGTAAACAAGGTGGACTTTTTTCAGAACATTTAGTTTAGGAACCAAATTAAATGTTCCAGCGATTTAGGGATTCGATCTGGTCTTTCTCCATAAGCTGGTCCAGGCTCCTGCTGCCTGAATGGCCGGCTTGAAAGGGAGAGGAGGTACCCCACTGTTTTGGCCTAGTGACCCATTCTAACAGGTCCCCTTTGAGGAGAAGCGTGGGTCTCTTTCAAGAGTTCATTCGATACAGCTTACAAAAGATTTTCACCCGAGATGAGAAAAGTTTACAAAAAGTTTTTTGGGGGTGGGGAGGCAGGAGGAAAACGGCCAAGCCTTTTTTTTTTTTTTAAGGGGAGAATAAATTACCTTTGCTGTGTCTGGGTTGAGCTAATCTGATTAGGCCAACCTCATGAACAGCCCCAGTGAAAAGGGGGGAAAGGGAGGAGAGGGGTGGGGGAAGAGAGAGAAAGCCATAGATTCCAAAGAAAAAGAGGCCGTAATGTTAGGCAGGTTCAAACAAAACGCAGGGTCATACGGCCTGCTTGACAACAGATGACAAGATGATAAATCGTTTCGGAGCCAGAACCAATATAATTGATGCTTTTTAAAGAAAAAATAAAAAGCTTCAGGTATGGGAACAGACACTTAATAAGATTAAGGGAGGCAAAAATGAAAGTCCCTGTGACCACTATGGATATTTGCAATGGGTGTTTGGGTAACATAGAAGTTTGAGGGCTCTTGAATGAAGACCGTGGTGGCGGGGAAGGGAGGGCATGAAGAGGGAGGAACCATCCGAGTTAATTAAGTTAGCAATACTTGATTTCTCAATAGATCAGAGCATTAGGAGTCATGTCAGCTCCACAGAATGAGAAATGTGGAAAGGGCTGGCTACAGAAGACCATGGGAGTCACGTAACCAACTGCTTGGCAAGGCAGTGGTTTGCTGAAGTGGCAAAGAGACAGTTATCACTCTTCCAACACCTCATTAGAGAAGGAACAGTCAAACGACTCGCCAGCTTTTGGGAGGATGTTAGCCGACAACTGACAACCACACCAAGCTCCATTATTACCACTTGGTAAATGGTGTTCTACCTTGCAAACCCTTTGTGCTCCTCAATTCCAGAAGAATAGGTGAGGATACACTAAGTTGCTAATTAATAACCTAATTGATTTCTAAATTAAGAACTGTCACTTAGTGGAAGAGCTTCTGCTTTGTATGGAGAAAGTCCCAAGGTTCGATTCCTGGCATCGCCAGATGGGACTGGGAATGTTCCCCATCTGAAACCCTGGATAGCTGCTGCCAGTCAGAGTGGACAATACAGAGCTAGATAGGCCATGGGTCTGATTTGGGATAAGGCGGCTTCCCATGTTCCTGTGTCTTAAGGGAAGGACCATAGCTCAATGGTAGAGCCTCTGCATGCAAAACATAGGTACAAGCCTCAGCATCTAAAGATAGGGCTGGGAATGTTCCAAGCCTGAAAACCTGGAGAGCCACTGCCAGTCAGCATGGACAACACTGAACTAGATGGACCAATAGTCTGACTTAGTGTAAAGCAACTTCCTATGGCTCAGATGGCCTCAGTGGTGCGGAGTGCCTTCCATCAGCTTCAACTGGTGGCCCAGCTGCACCCCCATCTGTGCATGGATAACCTAACTTCTATTGTCTATAAACTGATAACCTCTAGGTTAGATTACTGCAATGCATCGTGCATGGGGCTCTCTCTGAAGACAGTTTGGAAACTTCAGCTGGTGCAGAATTTGACAGCCAGGCTGCTCAATGGGGCAAGACGGTTGGAGCATATAATGCAAATCTTGGCCTGACTGCACTGGCTGTCAATTAGTTTCCGGGCCCAATTCAAAGTGCTGGTTTCGACCTGCAAGACCTTAAACGGCTCAGGACTGCAATTACTCAAGGACCACCTCTCCCCATATGAATCAACCTGGACCCTGCAATCATCATTTGAGACCCTTCTTTGTGTGCCCCCTCCATGAGAGGTCTGGAGGGTGGCAACATGAGAACAGGTCTTTTCTGTGGTGGCTCCCTGTTTGTAGAATACTTTGACCAGGGATACTTTGCCTTGTGCCTTCATTACATGTATCTAGGCACCAGGCAAAAACGTTCCTCTTCTCCCAAGCCTTTGATTAATTAAACAATCTATGGCCTTTTAAACTGGGGCAGGGTATTGTTTTTGGTAGTTACTAGGGTATGAATTTTTGTGTTTTTATATTATGAACCACCCTGTGATCTTCAGATGAAGGGTGGTATGGAACTGATGATGATGATGATGTTCCTATTCTTTAATAAAAGATGCTGGCCAATCTAGCCCAGCTCCTCTTTCCCACAGCTGCCAGCCAGATACTTATTTTTATTAACTTGCTTGTAGCGTTTGTATGCTATCTCATAACATCAAGTTCTCTGTGTGGCTTACAGCAAATGAGTAAAGCAAAACAAAACAAAAAAACAGAACAGAATGTGAAGCATTTTATATTCTGCCTTTCCATACTGCGAGGAGGCTCCCAACCAAACAAAATGAAGGAAGTAACAATAAAGTGGATTAAAATCAACCACCGGACAGCAGCAGCAATGCAGGTCTGCAATGCTAACCTGGCGACCCATAGGCCTTCTAAAAGGGCATAGCTCAGTGACAGAGAATCAGCTCTGCATGCAGAAGGTCTTGGATTCAGTCAGGCTGAGATGGACTTCACTCGTGTCTGAAATCCACTGCCAGTCAACGCAGACATAGGGATTTAAGAAGAGACTGCTGGATCAGGCCAAAGGGGGTCCATCTGGTCCAGCATCCTGTTCTCACAGCGGCCAGACAGATGTTCCCAATAGGAAGCCCACAAGCAAGACCCAAGCAGAAGAGCGCTCCTCTCTCCCAAAATTTCCAGCAACTGATATTCAGAAGCATTACTGCTTCTGACTGTGGAGACAGAGCATAGCCATCATGACTAGTAGCCACTGATAGCCTTATCCTCCATGTATTTGCCCAATCCTCTTTCAAAGCCATCCAAGCTGGCAGACATCACTGCCTCCTGTGGGGGTGAGTTCCGCAGTTTAACTATGTGCTGTGTGAAGAAGTACTTCTTTTTCACCTCTCCGGAATCTCCCAACGCTCCGTTTCATCGGATGTCCACGTTCTGAGCTACATGGACCGAGGGTTTGACTTGGTTTAAGGCAGCTTCTTATGCTTCTAGGGTTTTGCAGAAGAGCTCTGATCCTCATCAGGAAGGTCAGTCTAACATCCTCGAAAGTGTAGTCATAAAGAACCACACAGTGTGAGCAACACAGTGCAGAAACTACCCCATACTTGGATATATATATTTTTAAAGCAAGATTGCACAGTCCCTTGATCCCTTGCAAAACTGGGAGAAATGATGCAAGAGTCAATATTGCAGCATGAATTATGCAAAATAATGTGGGCAGTGGGCACTTTTGCACAAGCTATACAAGGTGCAAATTAGTCAGTCTTTCATGGGAACAGAATGACAGATTTTTTAATTTTTTAATTGTAGTTCCAGCTACAATTTTCTCAGTTCTTCCTCCAAGGAGTTCAGAGGAGTGGGGTTGCAGTCCAATTGTATTTATGTGTACTTGAGTTGAAAGGAAGTCCCGCTGTGTTGACTGGGACTTACTCCTGGGTAGAGGCATACAGGATTATAGCCTGAGAACTAGAGATGGATGAGAAAGTATATTCAGTTTGTATTTGAAGGGTCAATTTACCTAATTCACACTTTTCAAAAGAATACACAAACCCAAACCCAGCCATGTTTTGAAATTTACACTTCTCCAAATTTTGCAGTGCAAGTATGCCAAGTAATGAGTAAAGGAATGCATATACCAAAATACAAAATAATGCATATATTCATGAAAATAACCTATAAAATGCACTATATTGGGGGGAAATGCTTTGCAAAAATTCTATGGGGAAATTGCATACAAAAACGTGTGTGTTAGCAGAAATTTTCACTAAACTGCTGATAAACTGTCAGGAGAGCTTATTTTCTTTACATATCTAAAAAAGCAAACTGGTGTGGAAATGGGGAGAACTGAACTTAAACTGAAAAGAATTGAGTGTACGACTGGGGGGAAACTAGCAATGGAAATTATGGATTTGCCCCTTCCGACTCACAGCAACCCTGCAGGGTAGATTAGATTCAGAAGGAGCGATTTGCCAATGCCTCCTGGTCAACAGCACCTAAGAGCTCTCCTGCACAGCTCCCACTCACTTCAGTGGATTAACTGAGCTTTGCGTCCTAGGACTTATGCTGCAGATTGCAACGTTGGACAAATTGGCAAGCCAACACAGAGGAATGTTTTCCCCTTTTGTTCAGTGCATGGGCACGTCCGGGTCCTTAACGTTAGATCCCCCCACCCCCAAATTCCTTCACATGCCGGAAGAACACATTCTGCCCCTTAGCAAATATAATTAAGAACAGTATCTGTGGAAGGGCCATGTAAGGAGATTTTCTTTCCAAGGCCTTCTTAATACAGATGTAATTGACTCTGTTTTCTGCCTTCTGCGTGCAGATTGCGCCATCCCCACTCCTATTATTCACCCACAAATTAACTGGGGACCTGGTGAAAAGGGCCTCTCCATCCAGGAGTGCGTCTGGAGAATGGAGCTTTGGCTTGTGTTAAATCTGGACATCGCCATTTGCCTCTCTCTCCCTTTTTATCTCTGCCGCCTTTTCAAATGTGTTTTCAAGCCTGTGAGAAGTCAGCAAATATGTGTTTGGAGAAACCAAAGGGGCTCTTGTAAAAAGAGCCTACATCTGTTTCATTCATGGGGTCATGGTGGACAGCTTTGGTTCCCTTCTCCTTTTCTTTCGGAGCAACATGCTCCAAAGGACTGAACTTTGCAACTTCCCTTTAAGCTTCTCCCTGACACTGGGGGGAAGAAAGAAAAAGGGGTGGGGGAGAGTGAGAAGAGAAAATATATTGTTTTTTGGTTCTGCCAACTTCCCTCAGCGGAAGGAAAACCTAGGGGCCAGTTTCCTTGTGAAAAGTAAGTACTGAAGCCTGGTGATGTTTGGGTAATATCTGTTTGTGATTATGGATGAATAAGCTAAGGTCGGGTGATCAGGTATGCAGTGAATGTCTTGAGAAGAGTATCACCACCACCCCAGGCAGCATAATACGTTGTTCCTTGCAAAAAGAACCCTTCTGGATCAGACCAAATGCTCATATAATCCAGCATCCTGTTTCTAAGCACAGCTACAAGAAGGCATCAGTCCTCCCTTAGTCTGTCACAGCATATGGCATTTGGACAACAGTGCACTACCTCTTCAAATGGAATTTCTATTTAACTGCTGTGGCTAATTGCTAATCTAATGATAGATCTATCCTTCATAAAAGCTGCTTTCTGCAAAACTCAGGCTTTTTTTCTCCTTCATTGGTTACATTCAAACTCTCCAGACAGTTTCTCGCGAGCCTCCGCCCACCAATGGAGTGGGGTGTGTGCAAGAGCTAGTAGCCACCAGTCATCAACAGCCATTCAGGAAAGTGCTTTAGTGATCGGTTAGACACAAGCCTAGAGGTGGGTCTCTCTTCATTTGGCATCACGCAATATTGTGAGATTGACACTGCAGTGTTCTTTGTGTCATCTCTGCCCCCTTTTAAACTTATTCCCCAAACTGGGTGAAGTTGAACTCTGCCACCATCCTTTTTAAAAAGCTTATTCCAGCTTCTCCAACTCCCATCAGTCCCAGTCAGCATAGCCAATGGTAATGAAATGATGGGAGTTGGAGTCCAACAAGGCTCAGAAGGCCATGGGTTCCCCATCCCTGGTCTAGATGTTGCTGGGCACCAACTCTCACCAGTCCCAGCATAGCAAATGGTAAGGAATGATGGGAATCGTAGTGCAGGGACACTCACAGGGCAATGGGTTTCCTGGCATAGAGTCCTACAAACATGGTAGAGCCGCCTTTTGGTCCAGTCATTGGGCTGCTCTCCTTGGTGCTAGACATACTGTGATGGCCTGGGACTCGGGCTTGGACTCGGAGCCAGAGGAGTCTCAGTCCGCACCGGATCCTTTGCCTCAGGCGGCAGCTAAACCTAGTCTGGGGCCTGATTCTGGCTTGCTGCTTCCTGTACTGTGGTGCCACTCTGATAATGGCCATGGTGGGTACTGACTGCAGCACGGTAATTTGGCTGAGGAACCAATGGGGACTGGGCTGGCTCTACAGAATTATTGCTCCAGGTTTGGTTGCTCAGTCTCAGTGACTTGGGAAACTGAGGAGACACACAGATG